TCCCTATCTCTGTTACCCCCTCCCTATCTCTGTCACCCCCTCCAGCCCCCACACACCCCTCCCTATCTCCGTCACCTCCTCCAGCCTCCTCGTGGCAACTGAATGTGTACGTGGGTTTAGACAGACACGGGCCAAATGCTGGCAAATGGGACTGGATTAACTTAGGATATCTGGGTCGGCACGGACGAGTTGGGCTGAAGGGTCTGTTTCCGCGTCTCAATGACTCTGAACCAAGCCTCAAAACTCTGGTTCTTGTACATCAATGAAGTCACACTCAAATTCCGAGAGAGAGAGAGAGAGCGCGAGCAAGTGGAGAAAGAAACAGATAGAACGTGTGAGCAAGCTTCCTGTTTATTTGTGCCCATGTATAATATATAACATTTGCAGGAATTTACATCATCTGTGAACTGACTTACATCAGGAAAGAAAGGCATTGGACGTTAAACGGGGAGATTTGAAAATATAAATTGGTATACCGGTGATACAGGCCGACCGTCTCTGCTGTGCAGCCCGGGGTCTCGTACAGAGGTTCTGAGGCGAGATCAAGGCTCGCTCCCAACCCACTGTCAACACGATCGCAAACAGTACGCAAGTCACGGGGGCCAGACCAGTAATGGGTCTCAACAAACAGAGGTTAACACACAAGGAGGGACCGGGGGTCCGTGTCTCCCCCCACCCCGCCGACACGGTGACAGGACCGGGGTCCGTGCCTGCGAATCGTGCACTGCCGGGCTCGTTCACAATCTGGCGTCAGTTCCCAGCGAGCGGGGCCCTCGCTCAGCCTTGGAAAAGCATACCTTTATCTATTTGCGTCTCCCCCCACTCTGGACAAGACGCTGCTGTTCAGTCAAAAGATAGCGTGCTGACAACCTTTAATGACGAGTAAGACTTTTATACTAGCTGCTAATTCCAAAACACGACCGTGTCTCTAAGGCAGAAGGGTATAGAAATTACATAGGTGAGGTGGGGAGTATTTACAAGTGGGGCTGTACACTCGGAAACGGACAGTGATTAAAGACGGGAACACAATGACCAACAGCAGACTCACGAGACTCCAGTATATGTACAGGTGAGGCTCAAACACATGCGTCAAGAGGCAGAAAATTCTCTCGCATGCAATCCCCCTCCCCTCCCACACCCACCCTCCAAACCCTTTATTTTTCACCAGCAATGTGGGGTCACCAGTAGGAGGCAGCGTAGCGGTACCTCTACACTACTAAGCCTCCCCCCCTCCTCCTCCCCCCCCCCCCCCCCCCACCAAACACGCCCAGGGACAGGGACAGCACGGGGTTAGACACAGAGTAAAGCTCCCTCTACACTGTCACCCCCCATGAAACACTCCCAGAGACAGGGGGTTAGACACAGAGTAAAGCTCCCTCTACACTGTCCCCCCCATCACACACTCCCAGAGACAGGGGGTTAGACACAGAGTAAAGCTCCCTCTACTCTGTCCCCCCTATCAAACACTCCCAGGACAGGGACAGCACGGGGTTAGATACAGAGTAAAGCTTCCTCTACACTGTCCCCCCCATCAAACACTCCCAGGACAGGGACAGCACCGGGTTAGATACACAGTAAAGCTCCCTCTACACTGTCCCCCCCATCAAACACTCCCAAGACAGGGACAGCACGGGGTTAGATACAGAGAAAAGCTCCCTCTACACTGACCCCCATCAAACACTCCCAGGACACAGACAGCACGGGATTAGATACAGAGAAAAGCTCCCTCTGCACTGTTCCCCACAACAACCAACACCACCAACCGCGCCCCCCCCCCCCCCCCC